AAGAAGGAATGACAACAGTGTAAATGCATTTAAGGTATATCTCATCCAAAGAAAACTTCAATTGAGTGTGTCCTGATGGTGGGATTCAACTTACTATATGAACAGATTTTTGCCTGTAACAATTTAATGCTGTCTCGTTGGATCTTAGTGTAACATCTGATGGTTGAGTTGTTTAATTTACGTTTGTTTTTAAGTTGCTATCTCTTTATAATATAGAGTTCCAAAATAAGCAGAGTAGTCTAATGTTGTAACCCTAATAAGTAGGTTTATCATTTATGCACGAGGGCTTGTAGCTCCGTTAAAGTTTTTGCTGATTTACCTTTTGTTCAGGTCTCGTTATAGTAACATAGGCACCATTACCATAGAGTACTCTGATACGTTATAGAATTTATTCTAGTAATGGATTCAGCTAAGATAGAACTAATCAAGTTTAAATCATACATCTGCCTATATTGTCGTGCCAGTCAATGTAGATCTAAAATACAGGATATGCCATAGCATCAGTTTTCATCAAGCATTAACTTATCTCAGGACCAATTAGAGAGTCCTATTTTATAATCATTTTAATATCTCTAACAGGAAATATTGCCCTGAAATTCATGCAAACACATACTACAGATTTTTAATGTGATAAATTTTCGAAACGACATGATTTCGAGATACCTCCTTTTCCACTCCCTCCCTAAACTCAAGTCTGCATAAAAGAACTGAACCAACGCCTGAGAACAATTTAACGATGTACGTCGATTGTTGTTTTTTACAGTGTTAGAATTGTTTCTCTTTTGGTGGAGGAGACACCACTTAAGAATACTTGTTCTTTTTTGCAAAACCAAACAGTTACTCCAAACTATTTTAATTCTTAAAGCTGAAATTTTTCTATGACAATGTTCGATGTCAATATTTTTAACTTTTCTCTAATAATGTTCATTCTTAAATATTTTTTCTACACGCTCTTTTAAACCATCTTAAAAGCAGAGTCACCGCACTCCTACGAATTGAGCAGATCACTCCAGTGTCGGAGAGCTAGCAGCATTACTTGTAGTACAACAATCAGGAGGACATAAAAATGCCAACAAGATGCAAATTTTAACAGTTGCCACAGAAGAAAAACGGGAAACCAAAACATTGTGCGACCTTACACCCTCAAAAGAGTAAAAGGAGTTCTATGAACGATTCCCTTGAATACACGAACGACAACAAATAATGGATAGCCATGCCCTATTTCTCTTGTGAATTGTGAATGTTTCTCTACTTATTTAACTTGGACAATTCCTGCATTAATCAACTTTTGGATCTTGTTCATCACAAGAGGGTTCTTCATATGATCCTGCGCAGCTTTTGGGTTCTCTTGAAAGTCAGTTAGCACCTGCTCCAAAATACAACATTCACACCCAAATGCAGTTAGTTACAAATGTAGAAGTTACATAGTGTCATTGGTATGACAAGTCAAAATAGTACTCTCGACGACCAAATATTACCTGTCTCATTACTGGGTCTGTAAGGATGTTCTGAATTTCTGGATCCTGCATTCCCTTGGCCTGTTCAAAGAATCAGATGTATGAGTGTTACCATTACTCCCGTTACTTCTGCCCGGAGCAAGATAAGAGTACAGTGCAAAGAAATGATACCTGTCTCTCTTTGAGTTCCTCTGGAGTTAGATCTCCACGGCTTCCCCTGTTTATTTGCTCCACACATCTGCAAAAAGACAGTAGTTCAAGTTGCAAGCGAAAACCATAAAACTGACAAAACCACCTCACTTCTACATCGATGGTCATGTTGTCTTGAATAAACAAGATACAGCAAATTTCAGAGGAGGAAGAAGAAGAACCAGTAAAGTCAAATACAGATCACACCCCAAAGGAAACCAACTTTAGGAATCATGATCACTCTCAAAACCTCAGAAGAAAGCAACTGATGAGATACAAGAACATAAAAAGAAATATCTAATCACCTCTTCACACCATCTAGCAGTTCCTGATTCTGAGGATCATGCTTCAATCCTTCCTGGTAAGTTTCCATAGCTTTTTCGTACTCTTTCATGAAGAATTGAACAGCACCTTTCCTGGTGTAGCCCTTTACAAATGTTGGATCAAGCTCAATGCACTTCTCAGCATCCTTGAGCCCCTCAGGCAATGCAGCTAACTTCGTGTAGCAAGCAGCCCGGTTGCTATATGCCTAACAAAAAAAAAGGGATTCAGCCCTTAATGAAGGACTGAGAAAAGTCCTCGAGTCTAAAAAGGTGACAGAAGAGATGAATACCCTCGGGTCTTTAGGATTCCTCTTTATGGATTCAGTGTAATGCTTAACCGCCTCGGGATATTTCATCTCTTTGAAGAACTGGTTTCCTGCAACATAGTGAAGAAAGTTAGACCCATAAGAGTAAAACAACTCAGACAGCATTAGGAAGAAAATACCTTTCTCACGCTCTTCGTCTGCTATTTGCGGATTGAAATACTCTTGCTGCTCTAATTCCTTTCTCGCCTTCTCAGCATCATTGAGTTTCTTCAGAGTATCCGGGTTGCGATGTTCAGTCAGGGCTTTCTGGAAAACCTCAATTGCAACTTCAAAATCCTTTGAACTTTTTGCCATCTTTGCCAAGGCAGTTCCCTTTCGAGTCAGAGCCCTTGCAATCATTTTAAAGTCTGACCTTAGCTCTCTCCCCCTTTCAACAGCTTGGTCACAATCTTTGATGCAATCCTCATACTGAAATCATGGCAAAGAATTATGGGGTTTTCTTTTAAAAAAGGACAAAAAGGAGAAACAGACTGGGAGGCAAGGGGGATAGAAACCCAAAACTCAGCACCATGTCTATTTCTCTAACGATTCAGCATCTCATGCAGTTCCCAGAAAAGTCAAGGATACATAGGTGCAGTAAGCTAGCCAAAGATTCAAAACCAAATGATTGCTTGGGATCTCCAACTCAGCACCATGTCTATTTCTCTAACGATTCAGCATCTCATGCAGTTCCCAGAAAAGTCAAGGATACATAGGTGCAGTAAGCTAGCCAAAGATTCAAAACCAAATGATTGCTTGGGATCTCCAACTCAGCACCATGTCTATTTCTCTAACGATTCAGCATCTCATGCAGTTCCCAGAAAAGTCAAGGATACATAGGTGCAGTAAGCTAGCCAAAGATTCAAAACCAAATGATTGCTTGGGATCTCCAACTCAGCACCATGTCTATTTCTCTAACGATTCAGCATCTCATGCAGTTCCCAGAAAAGTCAAGGATACATAGGTGCAGTAAGCTAGCCAAAGATTCAAAACCAAATGATTGCTTGGGATCTCCAATCATCTCCTTATTCACCCCTCAGCTTTATATGCTAGTACTGGCCCTAGACGCTGACTAATTGGGAAACGAAGTGGACTCACTCGTAATGTCTCCCTTAATCTCAACAGTTTGGCTGGTTCAAGTTGGTGATTAATTAGAAAAGGGAGTGATGAACTCGCAAACCTTTACCCATGAACTCAAGAATCTTGCTGGTCCTAGTTGGAGATCAACTAACAAAGGATGTGGATGACTCGTGATCTAAGACAAATGCCACCTGCTCATCTAATAGATTGGAATAGCCATTTCACATAGTGAAAACTCTTCATTAGGTATTATGCCCTCCTATAATTAGGAAAGGACGACTCAAATGGGCAATTCTACTGC